CCATTCCTCTGGGGTGCCCTTTTGGCTGCTGGCACCCTTCCTTATTGGGAAAATGACTTTGAGGCTGCTTGCCATGCTGCAGGTCAGGGGATTTTTGGTGCACTGTGGCTCTGAAGCCCTAAGTCATGGCATGGTGTGAAGCTACAACTGGTCCTAGAAACTTCACCCTTCCCAATCTGGCACAGCAGCACAATGCAAACCCACTGTTCGCCAGGAAACCCTAATACTGGCAGGAAGCTGCCTCGTTTTGGGAAGTCCCAATGTAGTCCAGCTGCTTTTGCCACCTTTACTTTTGCTGTCCTATACTCTCTGCAGTATTGGGTGAGTCCAGATATGGGTATGCTTTATTCCTTCCTTTTTTTAAGCAAAACTTTGAATTAGAAAAGATTGGAGGCAATGGCCTAAGTAGCTGATTGAACATGTGTCCAGTATGTGTCGTTTTGCTGAGTTCTTTTGCTTCCCTTAGGGTTAGGCTAAATTGCAGGAAATCATTATTGTTTCCACCTTGTTTTTTAAATGTGAATCATTTTTCATATGATTAAGAATCAGATTTGCTTTTTTAATGAAACTAAAGATGGTCTAATTGGTAGATTGAATTTGCATACTGATGTCAAAGTTCCCAAGTATTCCCATTTATTTTTAAATTGAAGTAAAAATTTGTGAATCCTGATTAAAAAATGGGAGGTTTGATAGACTTCTACTGTTTCGTAACTGAAGCTGCTATGAAGAGAAGGAATGGAGGAAACTGTTTGTTAGCTGGTGAATTGAATTACCTCACTGAGGGGTTGATGGCAGCTGTCCCGCCCTTTTGACTTCCCCCAGTTAATCCCATTTTTCTTTTCAGCATTATACTCCCACCACCCTCCTTTTAACAGCTTATAATAGCCCAGCTATTGCTTAAGCAAGACATGAGAAAGAGCTATCCAGCTTGCTTGACTCACTTATGTCTAGCCTTCTACAAGCATAAGAGTTGAGTCGATTCCAGTTGAGTGCCCATAAAAGGACAAAGAAAACTGAAAGCCAGCCTTGTCTGAGTATTTCCTCTGCTTGCTTGCAACAGACTTTGTTGCTTCTGCAGCAAAGGAATGTCTCCCTTTTTCTATATAGTTTGTGTAACTTCAGTAAGGGTTATATTTCTTTCTTATGATTAATATAGTAGCTCACTTCCAATATGCTTCCATAATCTTGTCTGTAACGCTCAAAATGTGGGAGATTTAAATTCCCATGTTAAAGCATGGGACAAAGGAAACAATGATTCTATAAGGATTCAATACTTGAAACATAATTATGAAGGAGTAGAATGTCTTATGAAATACCTTCAGAAGATATTTCATTGATAATTCATTAGTTAATGAGAATAATAATTCTCTCATTAACAATGTTGTATGTTTTCAGTTACAACATAATTTTTGTTTGCTACATGTATGATGTACTTTAAGTTTATGATTATAATGAAAGATACATAAAAATAGTAAGAAATCTGCAAATAAAGCACCTAAAGGGTGTATGTTTCTTCTTTCCAGTTACTAATTGTTGTAATGATTTACAGAAGACGCTTGTCTTTTATGATAAACTAGATATACCTTAGGGCTACATCACTGAAATCCTTTTCTTTGCTAAACTTTAATGCTTTGATATATTTTGATTTAAAGAAGCGTCTATTTTCTTTCCCCGGTTTGGTGAAATCATTTACCGTAGCACTAAATGCTGTTCTGGCAGGCAGGCACTAAGTATTGAATATAAGGTGTTATTCTCCTGAAAAATTTGGAGTATTTTTTCTGAGTGCTGGGCATCCTTTCTATAACAAAGCTGGGTATAGGAGCCCCTAAAACATGGGTTGAAACTGTAGACTTTACAGATACGAGATCAGTGAATTTTGTTTAGAGGTGAATATATCTGGAAGGAAAATAACTTACTTTAGGTATGTGTTGTTCAGGCTGATGGCAACAAAAGATTTACTGATAGACAATATGGGTTGTGCAACAACATAAGAGTTTTCCAAGTTTTCTAAAATTCCTCAGGAGATAAAACTGAAAGCAAATAGGAATCTAAATAGAAATTGGATAAAACAGTGTGAACTGATAACATATGGTTATATTATTTTTTATATTTTCCAAAGATGAATGCTTGCAACATTTGATTTGTATATTTCTGAAAATAATGCTGTCCCTATGGCAAATAATCATAGTACTGCCTCCTGTGTAAAATGGTAAAGTTCAGATATTTTAAAACCAATCCAAAGATTTCATTTTTCCTACTATCCCTGTCCTATTATAGGAACAGCTAAACTTACAATAACATGTTTAAAACATACAGTACTTTTCTGACATCTTTCACTAAGAAGTGTTTCTACTGGAGCTACTTTTGTGTGGTTTCCAGACTCTGGATACCCTAATATGTACCAAAAGTTTATTTACCTCTTGTTAAAATTGCTCTTTTGAGTTGGGTTTCTTAAACATTTTTTTTCTTCTATTCAGTCATGACCAGTGGAGACTGCCTGAATAGGTCCTGTAGTTTTCTTGGCAAGGTTTTTCAGAAGTAGTTTGCTATTGCCTCCTTCCTAGAGATTTGTGAAAGTGACTGACCCAAGGCCAGCCAGCTTTCTTTATGCCTAAGGCAAAAATAGAATTCATAGTCTTCCAGTTTCTAGTTTGATGCCTTAACTACATACTAAACTGGCTCTCAAACTGGTATTAGTTGTCTGTATTGACATGGACTCCTGTCAGTTTCACAATTTAGATTTAGAAAACTGCTTGCAGCTGTGATTTTTTTTTTTTTTTTTTGCTGTCTGAGAACAAGGCGCTCTCTTTCTCGCTCTCTCCCTCCCTCCCTTCTCCTTTGCTCCATAAAGAGCAATAGCAAATCTGCTTACATTCATCAGAAATTTGTTCTGTACACTGATAATATTTTGGACAGATGTCTTCAAGAAAATCTACAACTCACCAGAATTGGAACCATTATTAACTTTAGAATATCTTACATGATATACTAATATGGGGAAATTTTGCTTATTGGATGATTTCACCTTTTACAGGCATATATGACATTCTAGCTTAGTTACTGACCAAGAGGGTCCTAAACTCAGCTTCTATGGATAGAGTGACTCTTTGTGTATATATGTATGAGTTTCCTCTTCAAATTAGATTGAGACACGTAGAGGTAAGGGAGATTTTAAACATGAATGTTTAAACATGAGTATGGGGAAGTTGTATCTGTAAAGAACCTTGATTTTAATGTCTCTGATATCTGCAAATATAATTCAGCGTGTCTCTTAACTTTAATTTGTCAAATTACAATGTTAAATCCATTTTCAAAATGAATGCATGTAAAGTTCTTTTCTACATGAATTGGTTGAAAGAAAATAACAGTTTATTGCACATTCAAGGCCAAGGAGAACTGATTAAACTCTTTGATTTGAATGTATTTGCATGCCTATCTTCTTACTAAGCCATGTTAATTTACAAAAAAGGAATTTACAATGTGTTGCTTTTGTAAATAGGTTTGTATCTATTTGCCATATTAAAAATGTTTAGCAGTTTCAGCAGATGGTAGCATTTGATTGACCTCAAATATTAATCAGTATCTGGAATGGTTCATTGGGAAGCTTTCAGTGAGCTAGAGAGAAGTTTAAAACGCATCCTGAAAGACTTTAAAGCCAACTACAGGTTGTCGCTGACTTACAACCACAATTAGGATCAGAATTTGTGTCGTTCAGTAATGTGGTCATAAAATGCAACATCACTTGACTGCATTGCTTAGCAATGGCTTATCTCAACAATCCCGTGTGAACAGGTTGTTAGCCAAGGACCCACTCCAATCCAAGCCGTTTCAGCCTTGGTTTATCCCAGCTCCAAGTCTGGGTTCTTCCAAGGTAAGGGACTGCCTTCCTTCAACTCCTCCCAACTGCTGAAGGTCAGGTAAGGTGGCAGGGACTGTGTAGTTCAGGGGGCCAAAAAAGCATAGATGGGGAGGATAATATGTGGGTGAAGAGATTGATCATAGATAGCAGTGGGCTGTTAAGCACCTAAATTTTGATCAAGTGATTGAAGAAGTATTGCAACCTCAAGAGTCACCTTGTGGTGAGATGGGCGACAACAAGTTTAAGAATAAATAAACAAACTTTTATAACTCCCGGGCCTGGACTTTGTTCAGTGTCCCAATAAGTTTGAACAATTGCTGAATGAGCAGTCTTAAATTGAGAACTGCCTGTATTTTTATTTTCATAAGGAACGTTGCTTAGTTCATGGCTTACTAATTTTAAAAAATTAGCAATTTAACTCCATTATTTTAGATTTTTAAAAAGTGTTTTAATCTTTTTAAAGATTAGTAAGCATGGTAGTTTTAATCAGACATGTCCAACCCTCGGCTTATGACTGTTAATAATGTGGCCCCATAAGATTGTAAATGTTAACATGTGATTTATATAGCTTAGCTATATTTTATAATTTCCACATGACCTGGGACAAATTCTCTTCACTCAATGTCGCCTACACAAGTCAAAAGGTTGAACAATCTTATTTTGAATTTTGGATTGCGCTCTTTTTCACAATTTGCATCAAGATATCATCCTTGAGAGCTTAAGAGCTATCTGTCCAGAAGAGCTGCACATCAATGTCATAGATATGATCCCATCTATAGTTAAGGATACATTTTTCTGAATTGGGTGACTTCTGAACCCATAACATTGACTTGCTGGGTATTGAATCTAAGCCTGATCTTCCCCATCTACTTCCTACCAGCCTGCAGGCATGAGGTCAGCACTTTATATCTGTTATAACATATAAAGCCATTAATCCAAACTAGGGTTTTCACATAATATTTAGAACTTTTTTTATTCAAGTATTAGCCATTGCAGTTTGTTTCAGCAAGTATTTCTAATGGCAATTTCAGTCCCACAATAATAATCATTTTTAACATTCAGGTGGGTTGTAAATTAGAATTCATAAACAGTTGTGCTGGCATAATATAAATAATGTCTGTTTCTTCATTCTCATAAACAGGTCCGCTATAAGGAGGAATTTGAAAAGAATAAAGGGAAGGGCTTTAGTGTGGTGGCTGACACACCTGAATTACAGCGAATCAAGAAAACTCAAGATCAGATCAGCAATGTAAGCTGCCCAGCACATTTCATCTTCTGTCTCCATGTTTCAGATATTTAAAAGCTTTTCCTTTGTCAGCTTCATTATGTTCCTTTTCTTAAAACATCTTGATTGCAGACTCCTGAATTTTGTTATTAAGGCAGTAATGTGGATATTGTTTATAAAGTTCCAAATACTGCAAATACATTCCTGTTCATTTAACATTTCACCAAGACACTGGACTAAAATGGAGAACAAGAACATGTCTTCATACACCCCATTGCAGCCCTGGGGGTTTTGTAGTATAGAGAATTGGAGTATATAACTAAAGAGGAAAAAAGCAAAACAAAAAACGAATTACCTAATTTAAAACTTACAAGTCAATAGACTATGGAGCAGAGGGCCTGGGAAGGGATTCCTCAAGGGATTCAGTTTATTTTGCATGACATCCCCAAATCTTGAGGTTGTGGAATGACGGAATTCATCATTCACAGGAATGGCTTCAGGGATTGAAATCAAAGGCAGATGGTCTCTGGTAGACCTGATTTTTGAGGATTTAACTAGCAAAAATGACCATGCCTTTATTAAACTTGATCCTATCATAGTTTTAATTTTTCTCAAGTTCCTATCGTAAAAATAAGTAATGGCTAAGTAATATTTATAACTGATATTCCTCAGAAAAATAAGGAGGGAGGAAAGGTGGATAGATAAACAGTCAATCAGTCTGGCTAGGAAAGGTAGCTTAATGGGGAAAGAAAGTTGATTACACTCCACAATATTATATAGCAGGGGTGTCAAAGTGGCGGTCCACGGGCTGGATGCATCAAACACAGACCACGTTCATCCTGGCTCCGCAAAGGCAAAAAACATCCTGATGCGTCGTGTGACGCAATTGAACCTGTGTTGTATAGGAATGAACCCATTTTCTGTTTCCATCTTCTGGTTCACACTACCTATTACAATAATTCGTCACGTGGAGAGAAAGGTTAAGGAGAATTATTTTAAGAAGGGAACCAGTGTTTGTGAAAAATGAGTTGACTGCTCCTGGGGTTTATGTCTTGGAAGACTATGCCCAAGACTATGTACTGGAATTTGATAAACAATTGCTGAACAGCATAATATATTTTCCTGATGAATGCTGAGTAGAGAATATGTAACAAAAGCAATTGGTATGTTAAGCTTTTGATAAACAAATGTAGAATTAGTAAAAAAGGAAAAATTGATTAACTTTTAGTATTCTTACTCCTCAGTAACCCAATTCCTGACTCTCAATCCTTCAACTATTCGTGTATTCATCTGCAACTTTCAATGGAAGTTAACCAACCAATTGTAATTAATGAATTTTCATTAAGACAGTGAAAACAAAAATGCATGATATAATAAAAGTCAGAAAAATTTCTACTAATGTGGCAAATGCATTATAAGGCTTTTCCATTTGTCACAGTGCTCTTGCTGATAATATATTTCCTTGTTTTGTAGATTAAATATCATGAGGAATTTGAGAAGAGTAAGATGGGTGCTCCTGGAATGGAGGGAGGGGAGCTGGAACGCCGTAATTCTCAAGAAGGTGCCAATTACAGGAGACCAGTTGAACAGCCACCTCCATCACATCAACAACCTCATCATGCCCAGCCAAGTAACCCTGGTAATAAGCAAGAGGAAAAAAGATATTGTTGCAAATCCCATCAGTTAATTTGCCTTGCAATAATTTCATCTTGCACAAATAAGATAGGATTGCCTTTGTTCAGCTTATAGTTATAAAGCGGTATTTATAATTTATAGTTATTTATTTCTTACAATGCAATATAAGGAGCTCATTCTGGGATACAGCCGCATTTATTTAATTTAGCTGTGAGATAGATTGAGCGGAAAAAAGGTAGCAGCCCAAAGTTACTATTGATAATTGAAGAGGTACTTGAATCCTAGTCTTCATAATCCTAAGCATGCTAGTATTATATCACATCAAAATTCAGTTTTTAGAAGAATCATAAGATACATGAGTGAAATGAAACAGTTCCATAGCACTGAGAAGTGGGAGATGGAGCATGTGCTAAAAGAAAAGTAGCAGAGTGACAGGGAAAAAGGTAACATAACTGGAAAGACTATGCTAGTTTATGCTAAATACACCATTTTACTCCCACAGATTATCTATCTGATATTAAAATGCAAGAATATTATTGTAGATGAAGCCTGCCAATATTGTGTGCAAAACTGGAGTGATTATCTGTTATACTAGGCAAAATAAACAGTTGTCACCCAAAATATGAAAATAGTAGGACTAATAATTGTAAGTAGAAGTGTTATTGGTAATAGTTTCCATTTTCTTATAAACTACATTCTCAGTTAATCTATTCAGTTTATTATAATCACTGACTAGTATTCAAATTCATGCATAGACTATGAAGAACCAATATAAAATTAAGGCTTAACATTATTAACTTTTAATAGCATACAGATTGTTCCATTTGATTACAAATTATTGTCCCTCAAATCATGACATGAGACTCAAAAAACAGCCAGAAGAAATTTGCAGTATGGCGTATAAACTTATTCCACAAATAAATAGCACAAAATTATTTAATATTGCAGTATAATGACAAATAGAAACAAAGATGAAAGCAAAAGGCTGTACTTATTCCTTTACCAGATTCTGTTATCTCAAAGCTTTTCAATTTGTAAATTTTGCATCTCAGACACTTTTTCATCAGGAATTTTGCATTGATAGTTATCCAGTGTAGATTCAAGTTATAATCAATGGTTAACAATGTCTTTGTTCCCCCTCCCCCCAATTCTAGTTTATCATCAGCAGCCATCACAACAACCAGCCTCTCAGTCCTATGTCTTTAAGGAACCAGCAGCACCAGTCTCAATACAGCGTAGTGCCCCAAGTGGAGGAGGAGTAAGTATGGTCCTGCATTGACATGTACAGTAGAACCTCGGGTCGCAACCGTAGTCCATTCCAGGACTACGGTCACAACCCGATCTGGTCGTGGCAGGAAGCACAACCATCTGCGCATGCGCCTACAGTACTGTGCATGCACGGAAGGGGAAATCGTCACAACTGTACTGATCAGCACCCAAGGATCTGTTCGCAACCTGAAGCAACAATTTTCCCTAATTGTTGGTCGTCACCTGATTTAGTCGCGAACAGGAATGTTCATGACCCAAGGTTCTACTGTATATACAATTTCTTGTTAATATTTAAGATTTTATTCTGAAATAAGTAGTCTTAAATCTTAACCATTATCCAGTGATGTGGTCTATATATCTAAGGTTCAGGTGAAGATAGAAGGAAAGGTGCTTCCATGTCAGAAAAGATATATATTAAAGAAAATTACTTTAATTGCAGCAATTAATGTACAATATTGGAAAGGAATAAGTCTCATCTCTGCATGTGAAAGCTACAGAAGGCAGCTCAAAATACTGTGATATTTAGCCTCCAGCTGTCTATTGATTCTCTGATTTCAGTTGAATCTTGAAATTACGGTTTCATCTTTTTAATTCTTAGCTTTTTTAGTTAGAGAAGTCACAGATAATCAGTAAAACTTTTAATTCAAGTTTCATTCAGTTCATGCTGATCTGCACAATGAAGCACAGTTCATCCATAAACCAAACAGTAAGACGAAAGTTCCTCCAAAATGGATAGTGTGTAGCATTTCTAGGTGTTGTGCTTAATTTTTGCCTGTTTTTAATTTTGTATATTTCAGTTTTGTAAACAATATAGAAAATAAAAATTTTAAGTATAGTATATTAACATGAATTCTGTTTGCATGTAACAATGGGGGGTTATCATAAAAATCAGCATCTACCAGAACAAGCCAGAAACCTTACTTAGGATGGGAGCTAATAAGAGCCAAATATTTAAATCTATCTTTTCATACTTTTCAGTAGGTTGCTGGAGCACTGGTAAAAGGAGGCATAGCATTAGAATGCGCAATATTCTTTTTTCCACTGTCTGATTGTTTCCAAATAATCAGTTAAGCAACAAACACTAGAGAATGTGGAGCAGGAAGACTTAAAAATCCTTTGCTGCAATCTGCAGAAACATATAGCACAGAAGGGGAGGAGGAGGAGGACATAGAGCATATTTAGAATTTCCTGGAATAAGTGCCTGTCCAGGCAGATAATTATGTGGTTTTATTCGGCTTACAAGTTGGATGCCTTCCTGTATTTTATCTCTGAGAGATGTGAATTTATCTGTAATTCCACTTTCCTGTTGATATGCTTACATTCTTAGACATAATGTAAAAATATACTAAGTGTGCTGTAAGCAATAGGAAAATGTAGAAACCTTAGGAGACGGGAAGATCTTGTTAATTTGTAGTTTGTAAGAAGGAAAAGCGGTAAATTGTTTCTTTCTGCTTGAATTTTATTTTCTACTTCCCTAATATTTGGAGATTCAGATTATTTGAAAACTAGGGTGGGCAGAGAATTAAACTCTTCTACCAGCCTCTATCTGTAGCTGCTTAGCCCTACATCCTGCATTTTCTTGAAGCTCCTAGGTTGCACAAATATTACCAAATAAAATTCATTGAACCTAAATATATATTTTAAAAAATCATTCTCTCCTTTTTCCACCGTTTTGGAGATATCTATTTGTGAGGATTGATTTATACTTTACTTTCTTCTCTTCTCCCTTTCCCAGAAACGGTTCCGTGCAGTCTATGATTACAGTGCAGCCGATGAAGATGAGGTCTCCTTCCAGGATGGTGATACCATAATCAATGTGCAGCAAATTGACGATGGCTGGATGTATGGCACCGTTGAACGGACCGGTGACACAGGCATGCTTCCAGCTAACTATGTGGAGGCTATATGAGCTCTGTTGTAGTGCTACCCTGAAAGCCAGCAGGGCAAGGGCTCTTTGGGGTTTTTGTTCCCTTATCACTTCTTTGCTCTCTCTTGTTACCCATCATTTATTATGTTATGAATCTTTGACATGCTCATCTTTTTCTCGACCAAATTAGCCTTGATTTGGAGGCATACGAACTTGGGAGGGGTATCATGTAATTGCCCTTCCATCCTTTTCCTCGGCCTTCGTGGAACATAGCACTGTGCCCTTCTCCTCCCTCTCCTTGGAGCTATATTTTCTGAAATTGATACTTAATGAAATAAATCCTACTTCAATTGCTACATGGATTAGGAAGTAGTGTAAGAAGGCTGAAAAGCTGTTTATTTGGCTGGTGGGGAAGGAGAGGAATGTCACACTTTCAGTAACTTGGGGAAAATCTGAGCATTTTATTGAAAAAGATTATCAGGATGTCTGCAATGTTGACTCTTGCTCATTTATTCTATCTAACTTTCCATGAATTTTAAATATTCATTTGAAAGAAATGAAAGTATTTTTTAAAAGCAGGAGAGTTTTTTGTGGACTCAAAGCAGTGAGCATATGTGTAGTCTATATGGAAGACATGGAAGCTTCAGCAGTTTCTAGCATAAAGGTACTCTATACAGATGGAATAGTTTAGCACCATGATGGCAAGCCTATGGCACGCATGCCAGAGGTGGTACACAAAACCCTCTCTCTTGGCATGCGAGCTGTTGCCCCAGCTCAACTCTACCACCATGGACATCCTGCCAGCTAGCTGGTCTTTGGGTCTCTGCCGTGCATGCACAGGAGGCGGCGCGCACATGCGGGACTTGTGCACATGTGCAGGGGTGGGATGAACACATGGGTGTTGTGTGCGCGGGGGTCATGCATGCCCGCGCAGGGGATGGTGCGTGCATGCGGGAGGTGGGGCATATGTGCGGGGCGTACATGCTTTAGGGGTGTGCGCGCACACGCTTTGCACTTGGTGTCAAAAAGGTTAGCCATCACTGGTTTAGCACAATGATCCTTAACCTTTGTGGATAGGCGAGGATGGGCATGGGAGAGGAAATCGTTATGCGCAAGCGGTGAGCGAGTGTGTGTGCAGCCCCATTTGCATGAGTGGTGGGCACATGTGCCTTCCACTCAAATGGAGCTGAGCCATTCCCTCACTACTCATGCAAGTAGACCTGTGCGTTTGCACTTGACCACCACTTCCATGGCCCGGTTCCGAATGAAAGGCCCAGTAGTGCTCTGTGGGGTTAGGACTCCTGGTTTAGCAGGCTTGATTATAATGTTAGCATTTCCTCTTAGATGCCACGACTCAGTCAGAGTGAATCTCTAGTTCGGATACGTGGCATGATTAGACAGTAATCAGAAGAATGCTCATGAAGAATTGCCACTAGAACACTTAACCTGCATAGCTTGAAGACATCAAGAAAGTTCAGCCGCCTTTTCTAAAGCACTTTTGGGACAACTATAATCAGGATGACTAAGAACCTCCATAAAAGCCCTTGTAAAGCCCAAGTATCAGTTTCCTTCTCCTTTTTCCAGTTTTCTAATTCTTGTTGGTATTTAATATGTGGAAATAGGTAAATTGCCCAAATTTCTCTGTATCAGCCTTAGCAAAAAGAGTCATACTTTCTACAGAGGTGCTATCTTTGGGACCACATTTTTGTTTTTCATAAGTTTCTATTCAAAGTAAATTCTTGTATGAGGATTTTTGCTTTTAACCAGGATTCAAATCTTGTCAGTTCATAGGCAGATTAAGAAACAGTTCCCTCATTCCTTTGTGTGCCATTTGAGCCAAGCAATGGTTACAGTCTACCCTCTCTTCCACTGTTTCTCCTGGTAGACCTGACCCTTGGAGGAAGTCATCAGGGGAACAAAGTCCTTTCACTAGAAATATTCCATTTCTCCTCCTTTGCTGTCAGGTTGACAGTTTCTTTGCTGCATGGGATAATATCATGGACCAAAATCAAATTTCTTATAGAAGTTTGCTATTAAAAAAATATCAGAACTGCTACAAAACTGGAAATTTACGTTGTTTAGATAATGTGTTTGAACCACAAAGGCAAGAGGATTACTGAAAGTGTGAAATTCTTAGATCATTCATTGAGTAGAAATTGTTTTCTCTTATTTTTAAAGCTCTCCCAAAACCCCTCCTCCCACCTATTCAGCAAATGTACAACCTGCTCTCTGTCACATAGCAGGAAGTATCCAGAAAGCTGATATTTGTAACATTTAAATATGCTACAGTTATCAAAGGCACATTCACTTATTCTTTCTGGCTTTGTTCTTGTTACTTCTCCATTGTAAAGGATCAATATGATAAATTCTTACTACTTGGAATTTTTTTTGCCCTTCCAGAGCTGTTTGATATAGCTTTTTGATCTCTGCTTTTCCCCTTGCATAGAGGAGGCATGTAAAGGGCTGGCATTCTCTCTTTATTATTTCTACTGTTTCTGGGACTTTTTTTCCTTAACTTTCTTTGCACTACAAAGCATATACAGTTAAGAATAAAAGGCAACTATCTCTTACAAGGGGTGCAAGCAAGGGTATTCATTAAGCAAGAATTAAGGAGAACCTTTACCTCAGTGTATAGTTCCTTCAAATTTAAGTAAAGCGATGTTCCAGTATTTTACTCTGATTTTCTACCTTTCATAGTTAGCATATGTTTGCTGGTTTGATTTGAGCTCCTTGCCTCATAACATTAAGAAGCTCTTATACATTATTCCAATCAATATAGAAATAGTGATCAAATTATCAAGTCATTCTTTTCATGTTGTAGAAGCACAAACATTTTAGAGTCTTATTTCCTAAAAATCCTAGCCTGTTTTTCCCTTAAATGCTTGCACTAGTGAAAAAGGTGTTCCAGGAAGGAGTGTCTGTTTCCTCATTCCATAGCATAATTCCATGAACTCTGTTGGAGCCACTAGAAAGGCCAGTGAGAATGGTAGCTGGCTTTCCTGTCAGAAGGCAATTTGTAGAGGACTGTAGGTGTCTAGGGACCACTTATCCTTGAGGTGAGTTTTAAAGGGTGCCCAGAGGAATGACTGAAGGGAGTGAGGTCATCACATTCTTGGTGCTAAGATGTAAGCACAAGCTTAGAAGCAGCTGTTTTTCTGACTGATGAGAATTAGGCAAAAATCGTGTGGACAATCCTGCAGAGGCTATCTTTTCATGAGGAAGATACAGAGTAACAATGTGAATAAATATTTTTAGAGGACCAAATAAAGTTACAATAAAATAGCTGATTTAAAAAAAAACTCTTCTAGCTTTTTCACCCCTTCCTTGAAATAAATGGTTTGTCATTGCTTGATTTTTTTTTTTCTGCCTTCTTTGAATTATGCACTTTTATCTTTGATTTTTTCCAATATCTGAAAAGCACCTAAACCTGTATTTAAATAGATAAAATGAAAAAAAAAACTGCTAAAATGCATCTCTGTAGCCATTGTTATTCACATCATGTCTTCTGTACATCTTAGATTTTTAAACTAGACTTCAATGTCTAAATTAATGACTTTAATTATTTGTTTTGAACTATATTTTGGGGTTTTCATTTGTTCTCTTTGTATATTTCTTCACTGTGGGCTTATACACCCTTTCAAAATCATTTGGCCTTTTTCAATGGGACCATAGAATCAAATGTAGTGCCAGTTCTCTTCTGGTTTATGCCAATTTAAAAATAAAAATATAATTTGTACCTGCTGATTGTTTTGTTCTTCATTTTATGGCATATTTTTATTGTTATAGAATTGGAATTATGCTTTCTCTCTCCCCCTCCCATCCCCCACATTTTCTTTTATAACTTTCAACTGTATCAATAAAAGAAAGAAGTTATTTTATAGCAATAAATTTTACTAAGCCAATTTTAGAGTAAATTTGATAACATTACGGTATTGTTTGTAACACTGAGACAAATGATTATGTGAACAAGTAGCCATGGTTTGGCTATTAATGTTTATTAATCAAATTCATCTACTCATCTCGCAAAAACTACTCTGAACAATATAACAACAATCCATAAATAGCCTATTTCAAACACAACATCCAGGATAGGATTTAACTGACAACTCAAAACAATATAATCAGTATTTGCCTCAGTATTTTGAAGGCCACTAGTTTTATAAAGTAATTTTATGTTAGAAGAACAATTTCAAGGTATGCTGGTTTTGCTAATGCACAGTCACAGAATAATAACTAAAGTTTACTAGTGAAATTCAAGGATCTTATCTGATATTCTGGATTGATTTAGGAAACATGTATTGTTAATCCCTCAGGATCTTGATAGTGCAAATTTTAAAACACCTTAAATTCTGAACTAAAATCTTTGTGCCTACTGTGAGGAAGAACTTGGCAATTCTACAGACACTAAAAAGCAGCCAAGAAGAAAATGATTTGATTCCTATACATCATTTTGGTGTTTAATTTTAATGTTAAAATTGAATTTTTAATGGGAAAAATATCTGAATATACATATTTGAACTGATGCAATGTGAGAACTCAGGCACTGTAATTTGTGAACTACACTGCCCCCAAAATAAAAGGAACACAAAAATAAGACATCCTAGATCTGAATGAATGAAATATTATTATTAAATACTTTGTTCATTACATAGTTGAATGTGCTGACAACACAATCACACAAAAATTATAAATGGAAATCTAGCAACCCATGGAGGTCTGGATTTGGAGTTACGCTCAAAATTAAAGTGGAAAAAACCACTACAGGCTGATCCAACTTTGATGTAATGTCCTTAAAACAAATCAAAATGAGGCTCAGTAGTGTGTGTGTGACCCCCATGTGCCTGTATGACCTCATTACAACACCCGGGCATGCTCCTGATGAGGTGGCGGATGGTCTCCTGAGGAATCTCCCACACCTGGACTAAAGCATCCCCCAACCCCTGGACAGTCTGTGGTGCAACATGGTGTTGGAGGATGGAGCGAGACATGATGTCCCAGATGTGCTCAATTGGATTCAGGTCTGGGGAACGGGTGGGCCAGTCCATAGCATCAATGCCTTTGTCTTGCGGGAACTACTGACACACTCCAGCCACATGAGGTCTAGCATTGTCTTGATTAGGAGGAACCCAGGGACAACTGCACCAGCATATGGTCTCACAAGGGGTCTGAGGATCTCATCTCGGTACCTAATGGCAGTCAGGCTATCTCTGGCGAGCACATGGAGGGCTGTGCGGCCCCCTAAAGAAATGCCACCCCACACCATGACTGAACCACTGCCAAACCGGTCATGCTGGAGGATGTTGCAGGCAGCAGAACGTTCTCCATGGCGTCTCCAGACCCTGTCACGTCTGTCACATGTGCTCAGTGTGAACCTGTTTTCATCTGTGAAGAACACAGGGCGCCAGTAGTGAATTTGCCAATCTTGGTGTTCTCTGGCAAATGCCAAACGTCCTGCATGGTGCTGGG